GGTCACACTCTCAAATTTTATCATTTCAGCTTCACCAATAGTTTGTTTTTTTTTTCCAGATTTATTTATTAGAGAGCGCACATACGGGGGGGTGGGGCGTGGGCAGGGGCACAGGGAGAGAGTGTCCTAAGCAGACTTCGAGCTGAATGTGCAGTCTGACGCAGGGCTTCATCTCACAACCCTGATAGCAAAACCTGAGCTGAAACCAAGAGCTGTATGCTTATCCAAATGCACCACCCAGGTGCCCCTTCACCAAGAGTTGAAGAACCAAAGAGATAGTTGAGAACTAAGGAACCAAAGAAAGTTCCTTCTTTACAGTGAGAATTAAGCAAAAGCAAGATAGGCTTCTTATAGGTAAGAACTTTTCAGGTGCTCTGCCTTAAGAAAATTTCCAGCATTAGTGCAGATAGCTGTAGTCTCCCACACTTTGTCTGGTTTTTGTGTTTATTTTATACGGTATTTATAATACATTTATAGTAGAGTAAGAAATAATTATCCATATTCTTTTCATACTACCTGATCGATACTATTTCTTAATTTCCCCTCCTACACATAACCAAACACACTCCACTCTGCTTTGACTTTCTGTCTCACAGATTTACCTATAGGTGACATTCTGACATACAGAGATCTCTTCCTCATTCTTTCTATTAGATGTTAGTTTTGAATAAAACATACTGGTTTACGTTACTTTCCATTCACTAATCCAAACCATCAATCCTTGGTTAATATGTAAAATCTTATAACTTGTCTCTATTTCATTTTATTATTCCTATTCTATATCGAGTACACAGATGCTGTATTAATCCTCATGCTATTTTTTTATTTTAGTCTAAGAATTCTTTTTATCTTTGTGAAAAGTCTTATTTTATAGAAAGTCAAATGGGCATAGAGAGATCATATATGCTATAATCAAAAAACAAAGACCCCACCCTTCTTACATGATTTGAGGAAGATTACTAGGTTGAATGTTTCAAATACAGCCTGCAAACAGAACAATGAGATAACTCAATTTCTTACTAGCTTGGATCTAAAGTAATTTTATGGGCTGTGATGTGATTAAATCAATGGCAGAGAGGACAGTGAATGCCAACTATGAGCAAGTGAAACAATATATAAGACTTGAGTAATATTCCCTCCCTGAATTCATTTACAAGCCAAAAGAACAAAAGGTACATAGTCAAGAAAAGAATATAAGCACACAAAAGTAAACTATGACCCTTTCTGGGTCATATTCCAGCACTCTTAAACCTAAACCAAACAGAAGTTTTTACTGTATATTTAGGGTAAGATGCTATGTGTTCTTGGGTCCCTTTAAATAATCATGGGAGTGCCAGAAAAGAACTTGCTAAAAAAGGTAAGCTTAGACACTGGGATAAATTAGGAAGAAAAGTAGATATGCACTGTCCTGCCTATCTTTGTACAACTCTTTGAACCACTGAAACCACTTTTACATTCTTAATCATTTTAGCCCCAGAGGAAACCTCTCAAATTAGGTGAAAGTTATTACTATCTATATTGTGCCATTTGTGGCACAAAGCAGTAATTTTATGTTCCAGATTAAATTTATGGGAAAGTGAATAACAGAAACCAAAAATCACAATCTGTTTTTTAAAAATCACACAGACAAATTCTAAATGCAACCACCACTGATGACACAGGAAATCAGTATCTGAGAAACCAGTGAGAAGGAATTACCACATCAGGTCCTTTTGGAATGATACTATAACCTCTGGATGCCCTCTTCTCAAGCACAAAACTACTGTAATAACATAGGAAGGAAAAGCGAAGACTTGGCCTTACCTGGTAAATCTGAGACTGGAAGCAGGTTAGAAAGCAGAGACAATACAGCAAAGACTGAGAACCATGACAACCTAGTTTTAAATTCTATTGGAAGAGACTGCTTCTCCACAGTGTAATGGTCATCTGTTCTAACACTGTCTCATCTTTCCCTTTTTCACCGGATGTCAAGATCAGATCAGAACTTTAACTTCAGGAGAAGCAAGTAAGTCTAGCATCTAGGCCTTGTTTCATCTCCATTTTTCTCCATTTTCAATTTCTTTCTGTGTATCTGGATCCAAGCCTACTTCTACTAACTGCTAAATCTATAGGACAAAATATGGCAAAAGGAAATTTAAATTTCTGAGCCTAAAAAACTTATCTATAGTAAGTCTTTCCATACACACACAACAAAAAAATACATACACGTATCTTATAAAATCTCTGCACTGAATATAGTGATAGTTACTGAGATAAAGGACAAAGCAAAAGCTGACTTCTAGCATTTTATGAATCGAAATTTCTATTTTCTGGTAACTCCATGCATCTAACTACCCAAAAAGTGTCGTAATGATGGCCAAAAGGTCCTGCCAAATCTTGAAGTACCTTCTGAAGCCCCGAAGATTAAACTACAGTGAGTATGATGCAAGGGATTATTTTACTGTATTCCAGTTCTCTGAAAATTGGTAATCTATGTCCTAGTCTTTACTAAGCAATATCCTATCCTTTCATCACAATGGATGAGAAATTTTTATCACAGCATTTTGCTAAAAACAGTAATTATTATAGTTTCTATTTATGGTTACCTACTCTGTACCACCATTTTCCATGAAAAACTGTCATCAATGAAGATTAGGAATTATGAGATACTCTGGTTTTAGAAGAATGAGACTTTGAGAATGAGACTTGAAGTACTCTTCCTACAGCTATCCTTTGACTTTGTCAGCTTTATTAACTACATAAAGAAATTATCTTAGATGGTAACGCACAAATAAATACAGATGAGGAAATAAGCCCAGAAAGGGTAAGTGACTCATTCAAGATTATATAGCTATGTAAGCAGGAGAACCACCTGGCTTCACAATTCTTTTCTTTGCACTGTATTATCTCTCCGATCTGAAGAAAGAATAGAATAAAGGCATGGTAGTATACTTTGTGTTAAATTTCAAATAGTTTGGCACTGGATAGTTAGCTCATACAACATCAACAAGTATTTGATACTGCTCACAAAAGAATATATATACTCAAAGTATTCATCTATTACTGGATTCATGCTACTATTCAGGCAAAAAGAGTTGACATATGGAAGAAAACCAAATGATGCACCTAACTATTTCCTTTGTGTTCACTTAATTCAAGCATCAATTTTTAGAAGTGTTTGAGAGTTTCCTAGATATTAGTTATAATTGTTAGTTCAAAATCTTAACTACTTCTAGTAAATTATCAAGGCATTTTAGATTTTCCTCTCAAACTGTGATGGGGATGATAAAAATTATATTATCTTCCTTTGGGAAGAAACAATGGCAAATGGAAAAAGAACTTGATGTTTTCTCTCAATATTACCAGTACTCTTTCTTCAATTATGACGTTTCAAGGAAATGTGTACATGAATATAGGTAACAAACATCAAATTCAAGGCAATTTTTCCAAATAAGGTAACCTTTTAAGAGGTACAAGTGATACCAGAAGCTCAATCAGAAACCTAAAATTCAGTTTAGCACCATGGTTAAAAGCACTGACTCTGAAGCCACACTACTCCCTGTACGTTTGTCTCCTCATGTATAAAAATGAGAATATAGCTCTACCCCTAGCTCTGAGGTTGCTTTAAAAATTCAGCAAGAGAATCCATAAGAGGCCTACCAGTATATGAAAGTATTATCTATTGTTAGTCTGAAATTCGTAAAAAAAAAAAAAAAAATCGCCAACCAAATAGAAGAATTTAGTATATTCTAACCTCAAATACTGCAGGCCTATCCATTAGCCAAAATGAGACTATCTCAGGGAATAAATAAAAATTCAGAGAAAAGACAGGAAATTGGGTACAAATAAATGAGAAAAAGTACGCCAGGTATCTTTTAAATTCACTTAATTCATTTACTTAACATAACATGCTAGTAATATGCCTTTATCAATAAAAACATGTAACTGGCTTTGTGATAACTGGTAATAAAAAGGGGGCAATACTGGAAAATAGTATATGCTTATCCTCTAAGTAGATGATTCCTTATCTAATGTATCAAACCCAAATTATTAACCATGGGACTCAACCTCTACCAGATTTTACACATTTCAGTCTTCTGTTGGAGATTCCTTTGTATTTGCCTTTCTGGGTCAAAAATATGATTCCCTCTTTTCCTCAGGATAACAATTAAATATGCCTGTAATCATCTAGCTACTCAGCCAGCACTCAAAAGGAGACAGATTTCTGAGTGTGCTGTGGCACTCTACCCTCGAGGAGGAAATGCAGTTTCCTAAATCCAGTGCACACAAGATAACAAAGGCTTCTACAAGATCATTTATGTATTTTAATAAGCAGATTCGTGACATTCTCATCTTTGACTTACTTTAATCAACTACATCAACAGCCCCCAAAAAACACAAATGTTTTCTCTGTGTTTGATAATGACTGCTTTCCACTGTCCTATCTCAGTCAATCCTTTAACTCTATTGTCCCTCTTCCACTCTCCCTCATCTCTATTTTATTTTGATTTTCTTATACAATTACCTTTTCCTACTAGACCAGAGCTCTGAGTGGGATTAGGAACCATGTCTTGTCTATCTTTATGTCTATCTTGACCAGCATAGCACCTGTCACAAAGCAACTGCTCAGTAAACATTTAGTGAATAAATGATTATATATATGAAATGTTAATGGAAAAGGATGAAAAAGGTTAACAACATTAATGATTCTGAAAAAGCCAACTACCAAAACAAAAATCACAGAAAGAAACCAGATCACTCATTTCAAATCTTAAAAGGCACTATGCTTTTTTTTTTTACACCAGAAGTATTTTACTTCATGAAAATATATTTACCTCTCAAAATTTTTAGTGTAATTTGGCAATAAAGCATAAAGTATAATAAACATTCTTAAAAACACAGCCTAAGAAATATAACATTACCAGCAATTTTAATTTTTACATAGCTTGCTTTCTAGCTAGCTTTTGTTAATTTGTATATTAAAGAAGTATACACTACTATGCTTTGTTTCCTTAACTCACTTTTCTGTTTTGAAGAATATTGCACAACCGTCCACATGCTTTCTCTCCTGCTCAGACATGATTTTGGCACGTGACTTTGGAGAAAAAAATCCATCATATCCACGCTCCTTCAATGCTGGCAGAAAGAGAGTGAAGTATTGCTCTGTTTCCACTTCCTGAGGTGAAAGAAAAGTTGTCACCGACATGACAGAGGAAAACTCTGACTAAGATATAAAAATGTTTAGCAGTGTAAAATGTGACTAAGTTAAAATAATTCACATAACAAGTATTATCTATCCTACCTTACCACTAGCAGCAGTCATTTGATAATGGCAGCTTTTAAACCTGAAAGAACATGAACTGCTGCATGATTTTTTCTTGCTTACCAGCTAGTTGGTCCCAAGTCTCTTTAGTTCCAATTTAGAGTTCATCCTACTATACATCAGTTCCTCAAAACTGGTAAAATTGGACATATTATAAATAAGCAGGAAGTAGTAAATTTTATTGAGGGGTAATTTTTAAAATTATTTATCTTTCTCAACTGCAATGGAAATGAATGATACCCAAGACTGAGAAGTTTAAGATTAACAAAAAGTTCTACTTTAAGGACTTTTTAGGTACCAGAACACCAATCATCCAACGGTCTCTGTTAATCCAGTATTTTTGAGTTAGACTATTTTATTCTTTGACCCATAAAATACTTTTAATCAATCTTTCCAAATGAAATAATCAAATGTCAAGATAATGATTTATCTATGATGATGCTCATAACATGATTTTATAACAGTAAAAACTAATAAATAGCCTAAATGTTCAACAGTAGAGAAAATGCTAAATCAATAAATATATATTCAGATAATGAACTGGCTTTGAAGAATTTTAGTAATATGGAAAGTGCATTAAGTACAACAGTGTGATCTCAACTTTATTTTGGAAAACAGGTCTGTAAATAGGAAAGTGAATTTTAAAAAGTGTAGAACAAATATTTCAGAAATTTTAACACAAAAACTATTTTTGGATTATGAGATTAGGTGTTTTCCTCCATCATTCCTTGTATTTTTTTCAAAATACTCAATTTCTCTAGAATCAACATTTTATACTATGGTATCACCTTTACAATAAAAAATACTTTTTATTTTTTTATTTTTAAAGATTTTATTTATTTGACAGAGACACAGTGAGAGAGGAAACACAAGCGGGGGGGGGGCGGGGAGGGAGAAACAGGCTTCCTGCCAAGCAGGGAGCCCGACATGGGGCTCGATCCCAGGACCCCGGGACCATGACCTGAGCCAAAGGCAGATGCCTGATGACTGAGCCACCCAGGCGCCCCAAAAAAATACTTTTTAAATTATGTTTTTATCCTTCAAACTATACTTAGAAGAATGTGAGGCTATCATTACTACAAATACTAAATAAAAAGAGGACAACTAAGTAACTACCTTTGTTTGCCTCCTTCTCCGCCAATTCTATGTCAGTTCTCAGTGTTTAGAAGAAAATTTAATTTTAAAGATTTTTATTATTTCCCAGGAAGTCATATGAACCACAGACAACATAAATTATCAAGCTACTCTAGTACAAAAAATTATTTAAAAAGTAATACCCTCCTCCTCAGGCTATACTAAAAAGCAGCTATAAAATTCTAATACTTAAAATTTTAAAATACCTTCATAAACATGTAATATGCTTTGAATGTTGCTAAGAAAAAGTTATTAAATACTACCTAGAAACCTTGGCTAGTTGAGTGTTGAAGCGCTGAAATACGCATTTCAACAAAAAGGTGTTTCTTCAGTTAAATTTATTATAATAAAGTTATAAAACAGAAAGTCTAAATTTCAGAGACGGTTTTTAAAATAATGCAAAAATGCATGACTTATAGCACAATATTTTTAAATGTTTACAATGTTTATCATTAAGGAACAGTGGACAAATAATATTTTTTAAAGATTCCATCATAAGTTAAATTCACATTCTTAAAAGTTTTCCCTTTCAACAATGCAAGTGATCTGTTCATAAGATAAACTTTTAACATGAATAATGGATGAGATTATTTTCACTTAATAGTAAATGAGTATAGGTGGATGGCTGTACTTAGCAAAACAGTTCCACTGTGGAAATGTCTTACCTGCTTATTAAAATTGCCCTTTTTAAGAGGAGAGAAAACAATTCCTTTTGAGTTCTGTTTTGAACACAGACTTTCTCTCTCCTGGAAGTAAGATCTATTAAGTTCACCTTTAAGTTTCAGATGATTTTTTTTTTTTTAAGATTTTATTTTTAAGTAATCTCTACACCCAATATGGAACTCAGAACTCACAACCCCGGAATCAAGAGCTGCTTGCTCCACCAAGTGAGCCAGCCAGGTGACCTCAGACAATTAATTTCTATAGTGTTACCTGAAGACTAATGATATCTGCATCACAGTTAACAATTTCTTCCATAATTCCCTTTTTCCTGTATTCCCAGTTTAATGCCCAGGATGGGCAATAGCCGTATAGCTGCCGGGTGGCGTATTTATCACATAACACATTGTAACACATAACCGTGAATGATGCTAAGAAGTGGGAGAGACAAAAAAAAGACAAAGGGAGAAAATTAGGCAAGTTTTTCAAAAAGAAGTAAAGTATCATGTGTATACCTGCACAAGCACAGATGGCACACAAACCTATCCCAAATATCATCATTGTGAAATGCCTTTTCAGCAAAATTCTGTTAAACTATATCTACTAAGACCTCACTGGAGTCCATCACATCAAAGTTCTTTCACTAGAATTAGACTTAGAGTTCATATTTTAGATTTTTAGGAAATTTATTTTAATAAAAATTCAAATTATAAGTCAGAATGCTAATTTTTTGCACATAATTTTTTGAGCAAAGCTCTATATAAGTGAACAAAAGTGAATTTTAGTTTTGTCCATTAAAAGACTCTAACTTCATCAATTTTTATTAACAAAATACCCACTATTTAATACTTTTGGGAGCCTCTTACTGCTCTTATTACAGTAAGCCAGAAGGATATGGACTAACAAAGTTTAGTTTTAAGAGAATCCTTTTTGCCAAATCATATAATCATTTCTGAAACTGAATTCTCATTTTAAAATGCCCTTGAACAACAAAAGAACTGTGAACAAACTAACAGGAGAACAAAGTTTATAGCCTTGCTACCCAAAAATGTGCTCGAAGACCAAGAGCATCAGTTATCACCTAGGAACTCAAAAATGCAGACTCTGGTACCACAAAGACCTACTAAGTCAGAACCTGAAGGCTGACAAAATCCCCAGGTGATTCACATGGACATTAGTTTGAAAAGCCCTGATTTTTATCAGTAATTCTCTATCCAGGCTGCCCATTAGAATCACTCTGTAGAGTGTTTTTTAAACGTGCTCATATCCAGGGCCCTGCTCAAGATGAAATAAGTTAGTGTATTTAGGGTCTAGATATTAGTATTTTTAAAAAGCATCCCAGATGATTATAATGGGCAGGTATGGTTGTGAATCACATACTTAAATAAAAGGTGAGGAATCCAAATAATGAAGTAATAATACTCGATTGAAGTTGGTTAAGATTTAGATAATGGGGAAAGTATTAAGAGAAACTCAGTTCAATGGTCCCCTGGGGATCAAACTGGAGGCCATTTTGTACACTCTTCACTTTTTCACTATCTGGTACTGATTCTTAGAGTTTTGTAGCTATAAATCGTAAGTTATTATACACATCTCCCTACTCACCAGAAGTAAAAGCCATTTTATTTAGCACTCAGATTCTACTTAGGAAAGTACAATACATCCCAAGGAAAATCCATACTCATTTTTCAATAAGGAAAGCCCAAGAACACATTACTTTGAGAATTCAACAACTGATGAAACGTTTCTGTTGTTCTTTTTCTTAATGAAAATGTACATATGCAGTATTAGGAAAGCTTTTCTTCAAGATTATGTTTACCAGTGCTCAAGAGAGGATTACTTTGAAGAACCAGAAAATGGCGTTTTTAAAATCAGAAAGGGAACCAATTAATTATGCATTAGGGAAGGCTAAACAAAATAAATCCACCTAAGTTAAGGCTTTGCAGAAAACCTTAAATATTCCTTTTACTCAGACCATCAATGTACATCCTGTTAATAGTAAGTGTTGCTCATGATGGAGCACTGACACAGTGCCTCCTAGAAATTCTAGGCTTGACTCTAAGAGTGTGGTAGTTTTAAAATTACTGCCTCTGGAAGACACAGAAATGTACTGTATATGCTGTTATTTCTCAGTGTTATTAAAATGCAAAAGAACCATGAAGATGTTACACTTCCTACATTTCCCAATTTCAAAGCAAATAATTTTTTCTGAATCCTCTTACTTCAAAAAGCACACAAACAGAAGGACTTTAAAAGTACATAAGTTCTGTGATTTACCCTTTAAAAAATTACTAAGTTGTCAGTCTTCAGTGACTGATCCAACCTTGGTATTAAAACAATAAAATTTTTATTTGTTAACTTTAAAATGAAATTAGGTATAATGAAAACTTACCCTTATGATTAAAAAGAAGGCATTTGGAGAAATACTAATTCACAACTTAAGTAGAATTCCCAATCCTAAAATGTCTAATAAGCAGTAAGAAGCACTATAAATGATGTCAAATCATTATTAGTCTCCACAAAGAGATAAAGGTTTATATTTTCTACATTACCGCAGTTCTAGAAATGCTAAACTATATCCTTAAATTGCTCACTCACACTCTACCATTTCTACACCACTGGCCTGGTATCATACTTTGTTTCCAATATAGCAAATACAGACTCAGTCTAAATTACTCTTTCACAAGTGTTACCACTCTACCCACTGAAGAAAGATAAAGTACCCAAGTAGTTTAAAATTTTCAGAAAAAATTCATTATTTTTTCATTTTTTCTTTTTAAGTCACCAATACCCTGTGTGAAGAGGCCATTTGGAAGGCTTTATTTTCTTATTTGGAAGCCTTTATTACAAGGAATAACTGTAAAACCAAGAGCTACATCACTGTGAAAGATAGAGGAGAATCCTACACATGGCCTTAAAGTGGGTTTTATACTTTCAAATCTACCCGTCAGTATTTTTTGAAGCTCATCTACCTTGTGGACATAAAATGAAGGCTAGTTATAATTGTATCACAAAGCCCAAATGGCATTTCAAGTATTTCTGAAAAAAATCAAAGAAAAATAAGAAAAACTATTTACCTGATGGCAGAATTTGGTCTCGTTCTTTTAATGTAATCCATGGCCTCGGAGGAAGCTGCTCTGGATGAACTGGGGGGAGGAAAAATCTTTTTTAAACATAAGTTAATTTCATGTGCTTCTAAAATCAGTATCATTTACTTTATAATGTAAAATCAACTTCTGTTTTCTCTTCTGCTGTAATGGCCCACAACTGACTTAAAAATCTAACACTGAAATATAAAGAAGATTTAGAAGCCAAAGGAAATTTAAGCAGACCTATGCAGAAAATACATAATGAACATAAGAAAAGAACATTAGGAAACTCATTATTGGCATTTCCACTTACACAGTATTTATGAGAAGTACCTATTTAAAACCTTAAATAAGATCAGGGTGCCTGGGTCCCTCAGTCGGTTAAGCACCTGACTCCTGATTTCCGTTCAGGTCATGATCTCAGGGTCCTGGAATGAGCCCAGCCAGGGGCTCTCCTCTCAGCAGGGAGTCTGCTTGGGATTTTCTCCCTTTCCCTCTTCCCCTCCCCCTGCTCACACACACTCTAAAATAAATAAAAATCTTAAAAAAAAAAAAAACCACAACCTTAAGTAAACTCTTATGTCTTAATTACAAATGTAAACAATGTAAATTTCCCTACTGGGAAATCAAAGCTTTGTGAAGTTCCAAAATACTAATAAAGTGAAATATTCAAATATCTTTAAAATAGAAAAAAAACACATGTGAATGCATAATAGAAATGAATGAATTTTATAATGGGGCTTTCATTTCCTAATTTTAAACTTTTTATTTTATAACATCCATGTAAAACAAGAGATTAGAACTACATTATACAGAAAAAAGTAAGGCACTGGTTAAACATTAATTACTCAGATATGGTTATCAATACCATTGAACTAAAAGCTACCCAACTATCAGATGAGAGAAAATTCACTAAGCTAAGATTTAACTTCACTTTTACTTTTTCCTTTTAAGAACACTGACAATTACAGGACAATTAGATTCTAAGTTTGCAAATTTTCCCAGGGAATGCAGTGGCTGAGAAATGTATTCCTTTAAAACAAAACACTCTTATCTTCACCCAGCCACAGAAATTTTGACCAGAGTATTTAAGATCTTTAAAAGTTTCACTTTACTAACCATTTTGGTGTTCCAAAAGCCTATCTAAAGGATGCATGTTTTAACATCCATACTTTTCATTATTTTGCATAGTCCATATCTTGCCAGGAAAGGAATGAAGGTTATCATAAGATGACAAACCATCCAGCTGAATCAACATATTGAATTCTGGAAAAAATCATGCCTGCCAGGAGTGCCATGCCACAATCATGAGAACTATCTAAGAAATGGAAAGCCCAATATATAAATACAATGAAGTATAAATGAACTTTCTAGCTGTTGGGTTCCTTATCAGCAAATGGTTAAAAATTCAGAAATCAAAAAATCCTCAGAATAAAACAAATAAGGTGATGCTGACATTCTGGTGCTTCCCAAAACTTTACTAATATATTTTAACTAATACATCACAATATATCAGTATAAGTAAAATGCATAGTATTCACCAACAATATCCGAAGAGCCAAAACCTATGAAAAAACAGTGTATCTCACCAGTAACCAGGAAAAATAAAAAGATGAGAGAGCATGTTTTTATCCAGGTTGTCCCCAAAATTTTAATATATCCAGAACTGATAATGGTGATAAGATATGAATACTTGCATATATAGTTGGTAAGAATATAAACTGGGAGCTATCTGGGAGGACAAGCTGGATCATCTTTTAACATTTAAACATCCATGTCCCTGTGACTCAGCAATTCTATTTCCTGGGATCAGCCCTATCTGCTTAAAGAAGCATTCAAATAGATATTACACTATTGTTTATAACAGCAAAAACAAGGGTAAATGGCTAATACCCATTTTATAGAAGTCTATGCTATAGTTTAAGAAAAAAAGGATAGATACATGTGTGCTAAAGTGGAAAGCTATACAAGAAATACTGAGTGAAAACAACTAGAAAATATATAATGATGAGGCGCCTGGGTGGCTCAGACAGTTAAGCGGATGACTCTTGATTTCAGCTCAGCTCATGATCTCAGGGTCCTCAGATTAAGCCCTGCATTGGGCTCCCCGCTCAGCAGGGAGTCTGCTTGAGGATTCTCTCTCTCTCTCTCTCTCTCTCTCTCTGCCCCTCTCCCTGCTTATGCATGCACTCTCTCTCAAATAAATCTTTAAATATATACATAATGATAAAATAGAATATGTTTATTAGAAAACATTTTAAAAACACACATGAATAGTAGTATCATAACATTTCTACCAGTATAATTTTTATATGTAAATGTCTACCAAAATATCTACAAGAACACACACCCAACTTATAAGTGTGTCTACTTACCATGGAGGGGACACGGAATTAAAGATATTGGTCAAAGAAAATTTTAGTCTTAACAGGAATTTTTATAAGGAGAATATATATTCATGTGTGACATATACTTAAAATTAATGTTTTCTAAGATGAAACTGCAATGTCAGTGATATGACAAACCATCAAATAAAGACTGTTTAACAGATATATATATGGTCCTAGATACAGTACTAGAATTTGAATCAATATGGAAGTCTGTTCTCATGAATAGAAAAGAAGAGACAGCAGTTAACACAGTAATATGTCTCTCAGGATCATACCTAAAATGTGATAAAACATTTTTATCTTCCATACATGCCACACCAGGTGCCAGACAGTACTGCAATCAGCCCTGGAGCCAGGAGGAATAGATTGGGGGCAGGGAGTAGGGCAGCAAGAAAATCCTGATTTCTCTGGCCAGTGAAGCCAAAAAGGAGACGTACAGCAAGTATTAGGTGGGAAACACACTTAGTGGCAGTGGTAATCCAACATGCTAATGGCAATCTCTCTAACAGAGCCCCAGAGAGACAATCCATCCCAACACTCCAGTAACCAGCAGCATTGGGCCTGGTTTGCCCACAGTAAGGGTGTCAGCTGAGCCTGGAAGAGCTGACAGAACCCACATGCTAACCCTAAACTGGGCAACTGCCTGCTAAAATTGAGATTTAATTTTAAAAGGATCAAGAGTTTCCAAACATAACATTCAAAATATCTAGGATACAAGTGAAAATCACTGGTCATACCAAAGACCAGGAACTATCACAAATTAAACGAGAAAAGACTATCAACAGAGACCAACACAGAGAGGATTCAGATGTTGAAACTGACAGAGATTTTAGAGCAGCCATCATACAGTTGCTTCTAGAATTATAAATTCTCCTGAAACAAATGAAAAAATAAAAAGCCCAAAGAAGCGTAAGTTCTACTTTTTTGAAAAGATCCAAAATGAAATTACTCAACTGAAAAATACAATAATCAAGTAATAAAACTCACCAGAAGGGCACAAAAATAAAGATAACCCAAAAAAATGAGTGAATCTGAGTATTTCATTTGAACAGTTAAAAGGAAAATAAACTGGGCGGGAAAAATGAACAGAGCTTGAGAGACCTGTGGCACTGTTAACAAAAACTCTATGACTCATATCATCAGAGTCCAGAAGGAAGAGAAGAAAGAGCATGGGCTTAAAAAGTATTCTAAGAGATAATGGTTAAAATGTCTCAAATTTGGTAAATGACATAAATCTACAAATGCAAGAAGGTGAGCAAACTTCAAGTAGAATAAACCCAAAGAAATCCACACCAAGACACATCATAAACTGCTGAAAACTAAAGACAAAAAAAAAAAAAAAAAATCTGAAAAACATCAAAGAGAAAAGACACATTACCTATCAGGGAACAATGGGTTTCTTTTCTGAAACCATGGCAGCCAGAGGAAGTGGCACATTTTCAAGTGCTGAAAGAAAAGAACTGTCAAACCACAAATTATGTATTCTGCAAAAGTTCCCTTCAAAATCAAGGGGAAATTGCAGCACCTGGGTGGCTCAGTAGGTTAAGTGTCTGCCTTTGGCTCAGGTCATGATCTCTGAATCCAGGGATCCAGTCCCTGTTCAGCAGGGAGTCTGCTTCTCCCCCTCCCTCTGCCCCTCCCCCTGCTTGTGCTCGCTTTCTCTCTCTCTCTCTAATAAAGTCTTTTAAAAAATTAAAAAAAAAGAAATCGGGGGAAATAAAAATGTTATAAAAGGAAAACCACGAAACTTTGTTGTTAACAGACCTGCCCTTAAAAATGGCTAAAGGAAGCTCTCTAAACAGAAAGGAAATAATAACAGAAGAAATGGAACACCAAAAAGTAAAGAACAAGCAGTAAAATTAGGGGTAAATGCAATGGATTATCCTCTCCACATGAGCTTCTTAAATCCTATCTGATAGCTAAAGCACAAATTATAACATCTGTGTGGTACTCTGTGTAGGTAGAGGAAATATTAGAGACAATTACATTTTAAAAAAAGTGGGGAGTATGAAGGCACATAAATGGAAGTCAGGCAGCAATAATGCACTTGAAGTGATAAAACCATTATCAGTAGACTATGCTAAATATGTATATTGTGATATCTAGACCAACCACTAAAAATTCAAATCAGAACTCGAGGTTTCCCTTTTCACTACATCTGTATCTTTGGGGTAAATGCCCAGTAGTATAATCACTGGGTCATAGGGTAGCTCTATTTTAACTTTTTGAGGCACCTCCACACTGTTTTCCAAAGTGGCTGTACCAATTTGCATTCCCACCAACAGTGTGAGAGGGTTCCCCTTTCTCCACAACCTCTCCAACATTTGTTGTTTCTTTCCCTGTCAATTTTTGCCATTTGAACTGGTGTAAGGTGGTATCTCAATGTAGGTTTGATTTGAATATCCCTGAAATGCCCTTCAACAGACGAATGGATAAAGAAGATGTGGTCCATATATAAAATGGAATATTACTCAGCCATCAGAAAGGATGAATACCCAACTTTTACATCAACATGGATGGGACTGGAGGAGATTATGCTAAGTGAACTAAGTCAAGCAGAGAAAGTCAATTATCATATGGTTTCACTTATTTGTGGAACATGAGGAATAGCACGGAGGACATTAGGAGAAGGAAGGGAAAAATGAAGTGGGGGGGGGACACCAGAGGGGGAGCTCTATGTCAGATAAATGAATAAAATCTTAAAAGAAAAAAAACACAAAAAAACACCAATCTCAAATATACTCTTCCAAATAACAGAAAATAAATTTTATGATGCCAGTATAATCTTTATATTAAAACCTGACAAGGATATTGAAGAAAGGAAAATTATTGGCCAATCTCAAGCTCACATGCAAAAAATCCTAAGTAAAATATTAGCAAACTGAATAAAGGGATATATAAAACTACTATATTACAACCTACTTGAATTTATTTTAAGAATACAAAGGTGGTATAACATGAAAAATAAATACATTTACCAAATTAGCAGACTAAAGAACAGAAAATATATGCTCATCTTAATAGAGAAAGAGCATTTGATAAAATTAAACATTTGTTCATACTAAAAAATTAAAAACATAGAAGGAATAGGAGAATAGAATAGGAATAGAAGAACAAGCTAGGAACAGAAGAAAACTTACTAATCTGATAAACTTCCTTAACATATGTAAAAATTATGGTGAATGTCACATTTATTTGTAATTATGAAAAGCTAATAAATTTTGAAATTAGACAAATTATCACTACTTTTAGTTAGCATCTGCTGGTATCTTAGCAAGGGCAGTAAGGCAAGAAAAAGAAATAAAAGATAAAAGAATTAGAGAGTAATAAAAGTGTCATTATTCACAGATGATACAATTATAGAAATTGAAATAAAAATACATTAGCATTAAAAAGTTTAGCAAAGTGGCTGAATATGTATTTACCAAAGGCATTTACAAGTGTTCAGCAAGGTACCTGAATACCAATAAATATACAAAACCCAATTATATTCCATAAATAAGCAATAATAATCTTATTAAGTTCATTTCTGAAAAGACTTTAGAATAAATGTAATAAAAAATGTGAAGACCACTACACAGAAACCTAAAACTCAATACTGGGAGAAATTAGAGAAAGCACAATAAATCAACGAATAACCAACACTGTTAGGTTAGAAAATCCAGTGTTGTAAACATGTCAGTTCTTTCCAAAGCAATCTATAGATTCAATATACTCTCAACCTTAATCCCTACCTTTTGGGGAGGGGAGAAATTAGAAAAGCCAATTCCAACAATTTTAATGAAAATACAAGGTAAAGGAAGCATGGGGCAAAACTAGCTTAGACTTTACAATCAAATCAAGAGGGGAGACTTACTCTACTGAATCTTAAGACATTTATAAAAATACCATAATTAAAGACACTGTTATATTGCCATAAAGACTACTAGAAATGAACAGAGAATACAAAACGTCAGAAATAAACCCATACATACAATGACAATTTATGACAAAGATGACACTAAAAAACAGTAATGAAAGGACAGTCTTTTCAATAAATGGCTCAAGGTCAATTTAATCTGTATCATGGAAAAGTTATGAAAATTGACTCCTGTGTTACACAAATTGCAATTCTAGGAAGATACTAGCTTTAAATGTTACAAGTAAAAAATGGAATTTTTAGATACAGAAAAATATATCCTTGAGCTTGAGGTAGGGAAAAATTCTTAAACAGGACACAAAAGCAATACCATACTAGAAAAAATCAATAAATTCAATTATGTAAAATGTTTTCTGTTCATCAAAAGACAAATTAAGAAAGAGGAAAGGCAAACAATAGCATGGGACAAGACACCTGCAATATACACCAACAAATGACTTCTATCTAAAGTATAGAAGAACTCCTTAAAAATTACACACACATACACCCCACACACATGCCATATGAATGACCAAGTGGCTACATCTATTTAGACAATGAAGATATGTATTTTTAAAGCAGGAAGGAAATAGCGTACACATACTATACACACACACACTATATGTGTGTGTGTGTGTGTGTGTATATATATATATATATATATATATATATACGTATACATATACACACACACACACAGCTAAATTAAACTTTTAGCCATATATTCTTAATTTATTACTAAAAGAACCTCTCAAGTTTATTATCACTCTCCCATCAATCAAATTTTAGTCTTTATAGCCAAAAAATTTTAGAGGATATTAATTTGGTTTTACATTATTGTAAATATTACTATTTTAAAAAAATTTTGTATGTAGGTATCTTCTATAATGGAGAGAATTAAAAAGAGTACATATCCTGTAAATAAAGATTAAATTCCATCCTTTAAAAAAAAAAAAAAAGAGTACAGACAACATACTGTGATGATGGCCTCATGCTAGATTCTAGATTTCTCTCACTCTGTTTCAGGATTCTGTATTTTAGAAAGACATTATTCCAAGAAAAAGATCTGAATTTAAGCATCTACATACTTTGAGTGTAGATACATACATACATATTTTGAGTGCTTAAGCAAAAAAAGAAAAAGTTTTAAGTCAAATACTTAAAAGATTTCTTACATAGAAAAATTTCCATTTGGAATACAACTATTTTAGTCCGATATCTCTAGTGTTCTTGATCAAAATCCTGCTTGCAAAATTTCCACAACTGTGTAGTGAATCAAACTAGTAATTTCATGCACAAAAAATGTGTACAGTGTATGGGATCCATGTAATCTCCATCAAATTCAAACAATTAACAACTATGTATTTGTGATTAAGAGCAAGAGAATCTTGGGTTAACAGCTCTGGCATTAATCAGCTGTGTTAACCTGGGAAAATTAATTTATTCTCCCAATCTCAGAACTTGCATCTGTAGAATACCAGTAAAAATTGGGACCTCTTAGGTTCTTAGAAAAATTAAATGAAATAATGTAATTAAAGCTCCTAATATATTGCTTGGTAAATAGAAAGCACTCAGTGTATGAAAAGAATGTCCCATAATAGGAAGAACTCTAAAACTATGAGAAGTTATTTAAAAAAAAAAAAAATGGTCAGATGTTCTTAAGCAACATGTGACATATTAGCTAGTAGTAATATATGTAGAGTTCACTGACTAATCATTAAGAGTTACCTGCAAGATTGTCAAGCATGAAGTTCAGTAGCTTTCGGGTTCCATCTGGGTCCTGGTATAAATTGAGAATATCCTGTGATAAAGGATTGCCTAAAGCAGAATACAAAAATAAAATCTGTAAGACTTACAATTTTAAGACCAGACAAATGTACACAATAAAATACTAATTTTGTAAAGTGAATTTTAAAGTATTTAGTCTGTTACATAAATTTGAAATTATGTGAATCTAAAAAAACACTCTGTTAAGATCGTCCTAAGATTTCAAAAATGTTCTTTCTGGATTTCACTGTTTATACTATATATCTACAATTTGTTTGCCAAAATCACATATATAAACATACTTATTAATCTTAGTCAATTCTGAAGTAGTATCACAATTCAACACCCTGAATTAACCTTTGTTAAGTTCTACATTTATCTTTGAAGACAATACTCTTAACTGAAAGACAAACAGTCCTATATGAGAAAGAATGAATGCTATCATAAAGAAAAAAAAGGAGGGTCTTCCTTTAGTTAAAATATTTATATTACCTATGGAGAAAGAGAGTTTAAAAAAAAAAAAAATCAAAGGGACCAAATCTTAGGAGCCTCTAACACTTCCCTGAGTTTTATCTACAAAAGCCCCATCAGGTTTTTAATATAAAGACTGGAAAAAAATTCCCCTTGTGCTTCTGGTGGGAAAGGGAGAGTGGGGCGGTGGGGGAGGGGGTAATGCTCTCCTTAACAAGTCCTGCATGCAAGGAAAACTTTTTACCAGAATATAATCAGATGATGCTTTACCATTTAACTTCAAGTAAATACCCCACACTCCAGCCCCCTCTAGCCTGATTTGGGGCAGAGAGAGTAGAAAGGAGCATATCTAACTCAAAGGCCCATTAAAAGACTGAGACCTAATCATAAAACTACAGGATTCTTCCTCTCTTTCCACATCGTACAACCACTTCAGTATTGCTCCTGTGTAGTAAGATGATTATGGTAAATGGAACTATAAGCCTCAGAGTCTCTGGGAAAACCCAAAGGCAACAGAGGAGATAAAAACAAGAAAACTGAAGGAAATTTTAAGACTCTGATATACAACAGCAGCAAACAGTAAACACAGCCTAAGTCCTAGCCAGAAAGAGTTTGGAAAGAAGTGAGAAGATGCATTATTTAAAAAGAAAAACGTTGCAAACTTTCAAAAGATAAACTTTTTAAAAATGAATAAACTGACCCAAGCAGCACAATGTATACAAAGAAGTATATGAAAGGACTTCATTTTACTTTGTACTGCAAACTAGAGAATTACAATTCCAAGTAGAAAACTATAAAACCTATTAAGGAAAATAACCAATTACTTAAAACCAAAACAAAAAACATGGTAATGGCAATCAAATTCATTAGCAAAAATGGAAGCTGGAATACAGTGGGAGTATTTCCAAAGGGTACAAAATGGTATTCGAGACTTCAACACTCCTCCACTAGTTATCAACAAAAAAAGTAAACAAAGTCAGTAAAGATGGAGATCAGAAAAACATGCCAACCAACTTGACCTGATATTTATGTAATACTGTACTCAAAAAGAGGAAAATATATAATCTTTTCAAGTGTACAGGAACATTTCACCAAGACAGACCATATTCTGGGCCAGAAAAACTGTAACATGTTTAAAAAAAAAAAACTAGAAATCAACAACAGAGAACTGGAAAATCTCCAAGTACTTTGAAATTAAACATCATACTTGTAAGTAATCTATGGGTCAAAGACCAAGTCACAAAAAATTTTAATTTAAATGAAAATACATTATCAAAATTGTAAGATGAACCTAAAGTCAGTGTCTAGAGGGAAGTTTATAGCATTAAATCCTTATACTGGAAAAAAAAATCTAAAATCAATGCCTTAACTTCCATATTAACAATCTTTTTTTTTAAGGTTTTATTTATTTGAGAGAGAGAATGAGAGAGAGAGCACATGAGGGGAGGAGGGTCAGAGGGAGAAACAGACTCCCCGCTGAGCAGGGAGCCCGATGCGGGACTCGATCCCCGGACTCCAGGATCATGACCTGAGCCGAAGGCAGTCGCTTAACCAACGGAGCCACCCAGGCGCCCCCCTATTAACAATCTTAAAAAAAAGAGCAAATGAATCCCAAAGAAACCAGAAAGAAATAATAAAGAGCAGAAATCAATAAAATTTACAACCAAAAACATGAGACTGCTACTGAACCTAAACATGGTACTTTGTGAAAAAGAGACAAAAAAAATTGATAAACTACACTTGATCAAGAAAAAAAAAGATACAACTCAATAAATATCAGGAATTAAATAAGGAATAGATCTGGAGACACTAGGACAGGGAATACTAAGAAAACTTTGTTCTTAAGTTCAATAACTTAGAAAAAATGACCAAATTCCTTGAAAGACAGAAAACATCACACCTCACTCAAAAAGAAATGGACAGGGGCGCCTGGGTGGCTCAGTCGTGAAGCGTCTGCCTTCGGCTCAGGTCATGGTCCCAGGTCCTGGGGTCCAGCCCCGCGTCGGGCTCCCTGCTCTGCAGGGAGCCTGCTCCTCCCTCTCCCTCTGCCTGCCTCTCTGCCTGCTTGTGCTCTCTCTCTCTGTCAAATAAATAAATAAAATCTTAAAAAAAAAAAAAAGAAAGAAATGGATAGAAAACTCAGCCAAAAATGGCAGAGTAAGGACCTCCAAAAACGTGCTCCTTCATAAGGGCAAAATGGCAGAATATGGGTAAGGACAGTAATTTGTGGAGTTTTACCTTCTTCTAGTCCCTCACTGCCAAGGCAGCCTGGCAACCACTGAAGCAACCAAAATTGAGCTAGAGCCTTTCAAAACTTCATTTTCAAGAGTAGCCATTTATCTGACTTGTGTGGTGGCAGTTCCTTGACTCTTGCCAAGTACTAAAAGCCTTCCACCTGAAAGGGGGAGAGAGTCTAACAGCATGTTTGAGGAAACCATTACCAGTAAATGATTTAACTTATGGCTGTCTGAGGTCATGGAAACAGGTAAAGCAAACAAAAGACTAACGTAAATGCTTAAAAGAAAGGCTTGGGAGTAAGATGTCACTAAGGGCTTTGAAAAGTTCTGATATATTCTAGGTTATCTAGAAAACCGTAAATGTGGGCGGCTTTGCATATGCTTAGGAAAGACCTAAAAACAGCCTAAGCTCTCACCTCTTCCTCATCTTAAGGCTGCGCACAAGTCAGAAGCTAACACTAAACTGAACAAATTTCAATGGCTCAGTCAGTAGAACATGTAGCTCTTGATCTCAGGGTCTTAGGTTCAAGCCCCGTGTTGGGTGTAGAGATTACTTAAAAATAAAATCTTAAAACAACAACAACAACAAAAAACAAAAACCTACAGAGGCCAAAATGTAGAAGAATGACATATTCAAAGTGCTAAAAGAAAAAAACTGTCAATTAAGAATTCTATATCTAGCAAAAATATCCTTCTTAGATGAAGGAGAAATTAAGACATTCCCAGATAAACAAAAACTGAATGAGTTTGTGACTAGATCAGCACTACAGAAAATATTAAAGGGATTCCTATAGGATGAAATGAAAGGACACTGGATGGTAACTTGAATCCATATGATAAAAATAAAGAGTACCACTAAAAGTAACTACATAGGTATCTATGAAGACAGCATAAATATAATTAGTGGTTTTATCATTTTTCAATCTAAGAGACAACTGCATACAGCAATGATGATAAATCTATGCTGATGGCCACACAATGTACAAAGATAATACTTATGACAATAACAGCATAAATGAGAAGTGAATGGAGCTACAGGTGCTAAGTTTTTTTAATATTATTTAAATTGATATTAATCCAAATTAAGACTACTATAAATGTTAATTTCAATCCCCAGGGTAATCACTAAGAAAATAGCTCAATATAATAAAGCAAAAGAAAAAAGGGAATGAAATTGGTACACTGGAAAATACTCATTTAACACAAAAAAAGGCATTAATTGAGAAACAGAGGAACAAGAAGGCACTAAGATAGAAAATAGCAAAATGGTGACAAAAATCCTACCTTATCAGCAAATACATGAAGTATAAGTGGATTAAACTCTGACTAAAATGCAGAGATTAGCAGAATGAACAATAAAACATAATTCAACATATGCTGTCCACAAAAGATACACTACAGATTCAAAGACACAAAAAGACTGAAAGTAAAAGAATAGAAAAATGTATGCCACGCAAACAGAAAAGAGCTAGAGTATCTATACTAAGAAAGGGATAATCTCAATGTCCTTTATTGATGAAAGAAATTGAATTAGTTAAAAACTTTTCAACAAAGGTAATTCCAGGTCCATATGGTTTTACTGGAAAATTCTACCAATCATTTAAGAAAGCAGTAATACAAATATTATGCAAACTATTCCAGAAAAAAAGAAGTGTTAGTTACACTTTTGAACTCATTTTATGAGGTCACCAGTATTCTGAAATCAAAGACATCGTAAGAAAAACACTACACAATTATGTCTTATGATCATTAATGTATAAATCCTCAATAAAATAGTATATATTTAGATATATACTAGTGTATATATTTAGATAATATATCTCAATATATTAGAGTGAGAATACATAATGACCAAGTCATTTTTAAAACGGGAATAGAGGCTGGTTCAACATCTGAAAATCATTAATGTAATTCCAACATATAAACAGACTAAAGAAGAAAAGTTACATGATCATCTCTACAGTCACACATAAAGTATTTGACCAAATTCGACTTGCATCAATGACAAAACCTCCAAGCAAATATGAAATAGAAGGAAATTTATTTAACCTGAAAAAGCATCTACCAACAAACTTGTCACTGATATCATTAATGGTGAAAGACTAATTGCTTTTCCCTAAAATTGAGAAAAAGGCAAGGATGTGCACTCTCATCACATGTATTTAATACTCTCCTCATACTATCGCCAGTGTGGTAAGGAAACAAATTAAAAGAATATGTATCAGAAAGGAAGAACTGAAACAGTCTCTATTCACAGATTAAAGTTTGTAAAAGTTTACAAATGTTGAGAGAGACCAGGTCAATATATTTAAAAATTAACTGCATTTTAATTCTGTAATATCA